GGCGGTGGCCGTGGTCCCTGCAGGGGCCGATGTCCCAGCTCCCAGGGCTCGGGCTAGCATCCATGCCAGCAGGTCAACCCCACGGGAAAGGGAGGCAGCGGGGCTGGGGCTGAGCCCAGGGAGGAGAAAGGAAGGCACCCGAGACAAAAGGAAGGAAAATAAAGCTGTATGAAAGAGAGCTGACAAAGAAAATAAACCCATGAAAGAACCCACCCTCCCCAAGCCCCCGGGAACCGAGGAGGAGGAAACCATATGCACATATGCAGGACGCAGCTTTCCCAAATAATCGCTTCCAGATCCATGGCCCCACCACCCTGCCAGCGGATGGGGGGCAGAGGTGGAGCCCCCCACCTGCACCCAAGAGCCAGGCGGGATTACGGGTCACTGATCCCCGCGCTCTGAAGGCGGGGGGGCACAGCTGGCTCCGTGGGGAGGGCAGTCCCAGGCAGCCTCCTCCTCCCCAGCCTAATTAGGAGGAGAAAGGCGGCCCGCTCGGAGCACCAGTGAATGGGCAGCCGAGGGGGTCCCTCCTGTAACGAGGCACTCTGGCAGCCCCACAAAGGCAGCACTCACATTGCAAATGGCCAGAGCCACTTGGGGCTGCGTCGCCCAGTGGCACGGGCAGGCAGGCACAAAGCACCTATTTTGCAGGGTGGTTTCGGTCCCCCGCTCACCCCGCTGCTCCTCATCCCTGTGTGTGGGATGCAGCCTTCCACTGGTCCTTCGAGGGACCCTAGAAAGGGCAGCCCCTCTTCCTGCCATTGCACAGGCTTGGTGGCCGTCACCCATCGGGCTTCTCAGCACCCAAAGGGAGCTTGCTTGCGGTCCCCCTCCCATGCAGATAGGCTCCCCTGTCTGTGCCAGGCACGGCTGGAAGGGGCCTCCAGACACAGCCCACACCATGCACCCTCCGCCCATGGCTTACAAAAGACCTGTCCAGTTCAGGGAAATACCAGTCCTCCCCAGGCCAGAGGAAAAAAACCCAAGAAAACAAAGGAGAGCATTTTGCCAAAGCAATGTTTGCACAAGTCACTTAGATTCTCATTTTTCCTTGAGGTTGTTTAATATTGCTTGTTTTCTGCTCTGTCAGAAATGAATTTTCTCGAGAAGGTGCTTTTTCTGTGACAGCAGGTGGGAGGTATTTTTGGAAAACCAAAGGCCAATTGCATCCCTGACAGGGGGACACCTTCCAAGGGGTGTTGATGAGACCCCTTGCAGGTGGTGGGCAGAGGTGGGCAGCAAAAGCCTTCCCGGAGGGAGGCACACTGCCTCTCTGCCAGCCCGATACTGCGTACAAAGGTCAGGGCTGAACCATACCCAACTTACAGGGGAGCCTAGACTGGCTGGCTGCCGGGTTTCCAGCTTCGAAAGCCACCCTAAGTCAGAGAGCTTGCCACAGATAAAGAGCCACTGCTTCTGCAGAGGAGCTGCAGGCAGGCAGCATGGCAGCGCAGGCAGAGGAGACACGCTGGCACCAGCCCCAGACTGGGGCATCGCACCACGGGCTATGCAGCCATCCTCGGGGCCAGGAGAGACTTGTCTGACCAGAGGACCCTGCACCCGGGCTGGGGAGGGGTTACCTGAGGTACCGGCAGCTGGGTGGGAGGCGTAAGATACAGGGCGCGAGGGTCCCCAGATTTCTGAAGAGTCCAGCGCGGCATGAGGCCACACCAGGTACGTGGACATCAGCCCCATGACACACGGCTGTGCCACAAAGCGAGGGCCAAAGTGCTCGGGCACCGGT